GAACTAAAATGATCCATGTAGCAAACAAAAACTGTTGTGAGCCGCCACCCTTATATCGCCTTTGGGCTTTTGGAGCCTTGACCTGACTTTTAAAAAATAATTGGAAAAAAAGCACTATGCTGCTAAAAGATGAAAAATAGATATTTGCAAAATTCTGCCTAAATATATATTTTACCTGGTTAATGTGTTTGGCGGGGGGTGTTCTGCAGCGCCGCTGCAGGGGAGGTGGACGCACCTGAGCGGCACCCGCAATCACGCCTCACCGCCTTAACGTCTGTGCTATCTATGCTGTTGTGTTGGTATGTGTCGGGCTGTGAGCTGAAAAGCTACAGCCGGCTGTATGCGTACAGCAACTGTGTGTGAAAAGTGGTCAATGCAAACAGTGTCGGGTCTGCCGTGGTATGTTTACAATGGAACTTCTACTCCTGAACCTCTGTGCAAAGTGTCTGCAAATCGGGGCTGTACGAAGTCACCTTCATCTTTACGCAGGACTGTAAGCTGCCATCTGTGAGGCGTGAGCGGTGTTTGTTTTTAACATAGTTCACGGAGGAGAATAGCTGCTGACATAATGTGGATCCGAAGGTCTATAATTGGCCTATCTGGGGTTGAAAGTCTCGAGAAATGCACGGCGTTTCGGCGGGTATACTGGCTTCCGCGAGTGTAACGCTTGTTTTGAGCAATGAAAAAATAATAGAATATAATTATATTTTTATATTTCAATATCACAATAATCTTCCAATTTAAAACTACAAGTTAAAAAAGAACCAACATAAATAAATTACACTTCAGCTAAATACTTCTAATTTATTTTGCCAAACCACGCGGAGCCGCACTATAAGGACTAAAGAGCCGCATGCAGTTGCCGACCCCTGACCTATACCAAGACAGACTGATAGGGATAGCTCAGTAGGGCAGGGATAGCTCAGTAGGTAGAGTGGTGGCCCCATGATCGGAAGGTCGGGGGTTCGATTCCCCTGAACAGCTACCCTGAGGTACCCCTGAGCAAGGTACCGTCCCTACACACTGCTCCCCGGGCGCCCAGTGGCTGCCCACTGCTTCACTGAGTGAATGGGTTAAATGCAGAGAGGGATTTTCCCCACGGGGACCAATAAAGTGCACTTTCTTATTTCAGTTTAACAAGTGCTGCATAATTTACCATCCTCCTTTGTCTGGCCTACAGCACTGGCTGTACAGAGGCCTACGCCTTCTGACTACATTGTTGTAGCAACATGATGATTTCTTTTTAAGGCTACAGAATGCAAATCATGGTCCAGAGGGCACCTCGGGCTCATTTGAGAAACCCCTACCTCTGTTTTTTAGCAGTCTCAATGTTCTTAGGAAAATGGCTGTTTATTTATTTGTTATTAGTGTTAAACTGTGTGAAACTAGAAATTTTCCAGGGCTGTTCTGGCTCATATATTTAGATTTTCATCTCATGGGGTTCATCACCATAGCAAATTTTGAGCTCTGTTTACTTTCAGTGTTCTTTACTGCAGAAAAAATAAAATACCAAAGTAAGAAAAGTAAACTGAAGCAATTCAGTGAGTCACATGTATGTTAAAAACTAAGTATAAGTATTCAAGTCTTGATCGTTGTTGGGGGAAAGGTTTGTTGCAGTTAGCTTTGAGAGCTAACAGTGAACTGTCTTCCTCCTTTCCAAAGCAGGTCAGTGCATATGTATTCAGTTACGTGTATGCTCAGTGGTACAAATTAACTTATAGCGCACATGTCGCACGTATTACACTCATGTCACGTTTCAGAAAGAGATTTAAATTTGGCTCTAAAGGGGCCCAAGGCAGTGACTTAAATGCACGCACAAAAGAGTAATGACACTAAGGTTAATAAAGTTGGTACAATAACCTGCTCATGATGAGATTTTAAAATCAGAAGCCTCATAATTGCTTTCTAATAACTTCTGCTGCCGATTAGAATCTTGATCAGCATCAAAACTTTGAGAGAATTCGGATTAGTCGGCTCTATCTTTGTAATGAATTGGTCGTATAACATGTCCGGCCTTTATAACACTGGCAAGCAGCATGTGAATGAAGAAATTCATCACTATTTTTCTCAATTAAATGTAGGTGGCTTACATTGTCAATGAAAAACTTGTGACCACATCATGCTTTAGTCATTCAACAGAATGTTCTTCTTTGGACCTTGGGCAGTACATTCAATATAATGCTCAATAAGTGCTGTAACAGCTGAAAACTAATTGGGATGAATCAGACTGAATCGATGAATGCGTCATGGTTGAAGGACATTTAAGGACGCTCAATGTGTGAATTAACACTTAACCCTGAAGTTGTCATCGCACCATATTGTGTGACTCAATGGAATGTACAAGATTAGAGAAAACTGTCACCGTCTCCCAGTCCAATGCAGCCTTGTGAAAATAACATTTACAGCTAAATTGATTTTGAGGAAAACAATAATTATGACCAAGTTATACTTAGTGTATAAAAAAAAAGACGAATGGCATACTTACCTTTAAGTAAACCGCACTACCCTTTCTAACCTTAACTTAAGTGCCTATTTTTCAAAACTGCATGTATTTCTGCAGTGAATCTGCAGAGAGTGAGCACATGTGGCACTGTGAGCATTTATTCTTATATATTTATATATAATCAGAGGAATATTCAGCCAGAAAACTGGCTACTGCATTTGCATTATGTGCAAGTCAGATACAGGATTTTTTAGTGGTCATAATTTCTTTCAGAGAAGCATTATCTCTGATCAAATTTCTGGTCAAATCTGGTTAAAGCTGAGTTCATACTTCTGCAGAAAGCAGCACAGCATCTGCCAAAGTACGGGTGTCTTCGAGCCAGGATGTAAATCTTGCTCTCAAGTGAGAGAGTTGATTGCTATGTACATGAGTCATGCATTTCAGCCACCATGTCTACTCTGATGCAGATAATTAATGAGGCGCAGCTTAACCCAGGCAGCAAATAGATGTACATTGCCCAGTAAATGTAACTGGGTAAACAATTTATTGCCGTTATGTATATATGCAATTTTTAGGAGACGCAGTTGGTCGGTTGTAATTTAGACAGCACAGTCAGTTGTGTGACATAAAACAACAATAAACAAAATGAGCAAATGATCTGTAATTAAAAATGTTAAGTCGCAGGGTAAGCTATAATATGGAGCAGTGGGGACATAACTACCATACTAGAAGTTAGAATTACAGACTTTGGAACTTGGAATATGTCAGTCAAAAGATGAAAATTGATGAAGGCTCTCTTTTAGCTTCTTCAATTTAGAGTTTCTGGTGACAAGAAGTCAAGCCTACAAAAGTTCCAGATTGGGGTTTCAGATATCCATATAAATGGCTTTAAACTATCAATACTCAATAAATTTAAAAGTTCAATTTGGTTAAAAATAACAACAGTTTTGCAGATTTTTGTTTGTAATCAAAATTAGCCCAATAGCCCAACATGAATCAAAAAATACCTTTATAACTAATGTGTACATTTGCCTTTTTTCTTTCTTCTTTGCTCAGTACATTGGGCGGGGAAAAGCCAAATAAAGTGACTTTAAAAAAAAGTCTATGTATACACAGCTGACACAATTAACTGGAACAAAACAAGTTAAACATTAGCTCATACTTAGCATCAAACTTCAGTCGCAGTTAAGTTATACATTATAGTTTTATAGTTTTAAACAATAGCATAGTGTATTATTGTGGGGGTTTTACAACATAAAGCACCTTGAGCAGACTGTTATTGTGATTTGTGATATACAAAAAGAACTCAATTGAACTGTAAACACATTCACTCTTAGCCACGCTCATGTGTCAGATTAAAAGAAATGTGTAAAATGGTAAAAAAAAATAAAAATAAAAAACATCCTGTAAATAGGATCAGAAAACAAATTGGTACTAACAAATATAACAGGAACTATAAATACAAAATCCAGAAGAACTGTTTTCAAATGCATCACTGCAAATAAAATAAACACACTGACAAGATGGGAACCACACCGTGATTAGCACCTTCAGATCCCTGTTACATAAACTTTAAATCAGTGAAATCTAATGTTCCTTTCTGTATCTGGACCAGTTAATTAAAACCTCAAAGCAAAGAGCCATTCACAGCTGAAAACCCACCCTTCCTCAGCCAGGCTACCCGTGCAGTACACATTCCAGTCTGATTGGCTTAGCTGTTGGCCCGCAGCCCAAAAGGCGTCTGTATAAAACTCCCTATGTGCTGAAAGGCAGAGTCAGAAAGGAAAAGGAACCCTGGAGTGACTGTGGGTTAACAGGAAAACTGAATTTGTTCTTTACTGCAATTGAAAGCACTGGAAAATGTGCAAAGGATTAGCCGCTTTACCCCAAACCTGCCTCGAAAGGTGAGTACTGAATCATTGCTTACATCTTAATAGTGTGTTGCTGTGATGTGGTTTGGATCCCACAAAGTTTGACTAAGCTTTGTAACCTGTTTGTGGGAGTTCTGTGCCATTAAAGTTAACAGTATGCACTGGAAAGCACTTTAAAGCAAAAAGAAGTTCACTTTATGAGTTTTTACTTTTGTGGTCTATTTTCTGCCTCCTATAAATTATTTTTAAACAGGCTTTTTGACACAGAGAATAATGTACATGACTTGTTTTAAAGCTTTTATTGTTTTACAGATGAATAGTGTATTGCTTAAGCATTCAAACACTGAAGGAGGTCAGGCATGTTGCTTAATGAGAGAAAGAGAAAAAAAAGTGTGGTAAATACTAAAATAAAAACAAGACCTGGATTTTAGGTTTTGTTCCTGACTTTTTTTTTTTTTAACAGTTTTAGCAGCTTTATTTCTGAAGCTGTGTTACACTGATTGTTAAAGCAGATTTTTACTTGTGAGTGTAATGTCAGTGTCCTGTTCAAATATACTACTCTGGTTAGAGGATGACACTTATCACAGTGTCACAATTTGATAAGCATCTGGACCGGACTGTTAGATGTTAAAGCGTTGTTGTCCCGTTCTTCTTTCTGTCATTCAGGGCTAAGGAGATCAAGTCGAAATTAGGAGTCTTACTGCAGAAGCCGGAAAATGCCATCGACCTCATCATCCCCTACCCTGAGAAGACTGAAAAGAAACCGGAGAAGCTCCAGAAGTGAGTGTTTTTCCCTCCGAGGGCTGAATGTCTGTGATGTGGGTAGTGTTTTCCTGATTATCTGTTAACCAGATAACTGATGGTAAAGCGGGAGAACAGAGCCCCAAGCAGGTACAAGATGTGGAGATCAAGTGAAACCTCCCCAGACATTGAGTGGGCTCAGACGTTGGGAGTGTGACGGTACAAAGCTTGAGATTTCAAATGCATTGCCTTGAACAGACTGTGGTAGTGGAAAAATATGTATGAGATGCTAAATTATGCCGGTTTTTTGTGTTTATTTGTCTTCTGTTACTGTACACCTAGACTTTTGGTGTTGTAAGGGAAACTTTTGCCTTTAATGTTTGTTTTTAACATAATGGAAAATGTTTTAAATAAATTGTAGCATAACTAGACTAGAAAGACCTTGACTTGTGTCAGTAAAAGCATGATGATTTTTTTTTTACCACCTAAAAACCAGCCACAGTGCAGCTTTGAGGAAGGTTTATGTGGCTGTGGCAGAAGCTTTATTTGGGTTTATTTATTATAAATTTGTCTTGCAGCTCCTTTGACCTTTTTGTTTAGTTTGGCTGACAGCAGTCGCAGCTGCTCTCCTGCCTGAGCTGTCAGAACTCCATTTTTTTTCTTATATCATCGAGAAAATTGAATTTATGTTTCGTTATTCCGTAAGCTTTGGTTTGAATTCTTATTATTTATTCTTAACCCTCATTTTTTCTGAAGCACACTTTTTTCCTTTGTTTTTTTTTTAAAGATACAGATTGGGTGTCACTCACTAGCTATTCCAACTATTTTTCCCCCATAAAAAAAAGCAGGCTGCTTTGGAAATGCTCCCTAAAAAGGGGACTGGAAGGCAGCATTGTTTCACAATCTGACTTCTTTGTCCAATTTCTTTAATAAAAGTCCACTTTGAATGAGTTTAAAGTTGGAGCTCAGTGGAAATGACAGGGAAAGATTCAGACATAGACGGTCTATTTTTCCTCTGCAGAAATGTGAAATCTTATAGTGCAAACTCAGTTCAAAAGCTTTCATCTGGCCTTTTTCAGACAAGGACAATACAGTACAATACAATGTGTTTGAATATTTATAGCCTGTTTTCTGAAGCTGTCTGGCAACAGTTCATCAGAGGTTTACTTGGTGTCTGTTGACAGTCATTTTTATTTTCCCCAACCATTTTCAAAGGAAAACAAGGCAAACACTAAAGAATCAAAGAATCATTTTTTTAGGTCTGAGCCTTAATTATTGTGATTATTAACACCTGTGTTGATCAACAACGATCTACGTCTAACCGGCTGCTTTAAAAAAAAGAGTCTGAGTGAGATTTCTCAAAGTCAAGGATTGTTTTGGGTTGGATCAGCACTCATGTACAAAGGTGTCTGTACAGTTATTCAGTGAGAAGGCTGAAATGTTTCCTGATTATTAATAAATACATACATTTGACCTTTACTGCCACTTAGCAGTCTCTGCATTGTGCAGGAAGCAGTTTTGTACGATAAGTTTACCTTAATAACTGTTTTTTTGCAGTTTAAATTGTAAGCTTCAAGCACTAACAACATGGCAGCTAAAGACTGTAAAGAAAGCCTTCTTAGCTCCTGAGGTAACTTTTACACTGTTTTTCCTCCTGACTGAAAAGAGGTGTTTTTGTGCACACAGGCCTGCTCCTGAAGAGGCTTCTCAATGGCGTGAGAGTCTGGACCGGGTCCTGAACAACAGCTGTAGGTCAACCCTCTCTATTTCTCACACTTACACTTTCTTAACCAGAAAGCTCAAGCTGAACGTTTTGTTGCGTTTCTTGTTGTTGCCTATTTTTTGTAAAAGGCTGAGTTTTATTTTTTTATGTGACATCTGTGGCTCGAGAAGTTGGAGTGGATTGGAAGGTCTCCTCCAGTACACATGTTCAAGTAGTGCCCCTGACGTCTCCTTATAAATGTGTGTGTGGCAGATAGAAAGGGTGTTAAGTAAAGCACCGCATGAATAGGTGGATGTGGCTGTTACTAAAAAGTGTTTGGTCTCTAAAGTGTTTTTTCAAAAAAAAAAAAGAAAATTGTTGCTTCTTGATATTGGACCTCACACGTCTTTCAGTTTATGTAACAGCAAAGCAAGAAATGCACACCAACAATTCTGCTTTCTGAAATCCCAAAATTGAACATTTTCCAAGTAAAGTTACCCTTTTACGTGCACCACACAGTGAATTTGCTTTGTTGTACTCATAGAGAAGCCTGAAGAACATCATTATTTTCTTCTGTCCAAAGCTGTCATTTCCATTATGTAAGAGCTATCATTGTAGTTTAACTTTAATCAGTGTCAAAGGGTGAAAACATGCCTTCTTTGAGGTCTGGTGTCTGTCTGCAAGACAGTTTAAACAGAAACAGTACAGCTAGCAGGCTTTGGTTTCCATGACAGCAAACGTGTGTGCTTAAGACCTACATGTGGCCATGGTGTTTTAATTGGATAAGAGAGATGGTGACGATAAGGTTTTGATCTTTATCTCATCCAATATTATGTGCTCACTCTGCATGGGTTTACAGTACACTATGGGTAGCAGGAGCTTGGTGAAATATGAATAAAAAACCTTTATATAACATCTTTAAATCTTTAAAAAGGGGATAAAATGCATTTATCTAATTATATATCTATCCAAAAAAAACACATAATACACATAATGAAATAGTTTGCAGGGGACAGAGTTATATAAAGAGAGTTTTTGGCATAGATGCTGAAAAATGTAAGAAGAAGGGAAAGGAATATTTACAGTCACTATGCGCAGCAAACACTCAATTTCTGGCTCGGCTGTTTACCTCGCAAAGTGAACAGAAAGCCTGAGAGCCTGCAAGACTGATGATTAACTCTAATGGTTAGCGGTATTTAGTACTACGTGTAAACTCCCCAGCTAATAAGTCACTTAGGTGGCCCCTGCGCATTAAAACAAACCCTAGATACAGATGTTGCTGATTTGTGAACAGAGAACCATTTCCTCTACCGAGCTCAGTGGAGTGGCAATGGACCTTTCTGAGTGGCTCCTTCAGCACCGTCTGGGGCAGAGAGATGTACGTCCCTCCAGTGTTTGCATGCTTGAATAAATGTGTATACCAGCCCAGGAAGGTTATGGGTGTTTTGGTTACATCTCTAGGGAGCAGTCTAAGTGATTCCAGCAGCACTGATTTATTGCACAGTTGCCGCAAACTGTCACACCGTGATTATTTATCTACATGATATTTTGCATTAACATTAGTCTTTATGGCTTTTCCTTGTTAAGTCCCCTGGGATTGTAAATGAATTATTTTCTCTCATGCACAGAGATACACTCTGCCCCCCACAACCCCACCACCAACGCCCTCGCACAACAGTCAATATTATGAAGAAAATACATAATGCATAACTACCTGTAAAAAAGGGAAAAAAAGATTACACTTGACATAAAAAGGGTTTAATTGGTGGCATAGTATTTTGGTTTAAATTACAGTAATTTCATTTTTAGGGGTTTTGTTTTTAAACGTGTTGCTGAATGATTCACTTGCTATCAGCAAGAAGGTTCACTGGAGCTTAATAAAACTAATTTCATGAGTATCGAGTCAAAGGCAGATACACAAACACTAAACACGAGGCTGTGTTCTTTGGTCGCTGCAGCTCTCATTTACAAACTTGTGCCTGTGCATGTGCGCTTTGCTTTTTGTGTGCCCTTGTACTCGTTCCAAAAAAGACAAAAAAAGAAAAAGCAACAACTTGATTAGGACTCTGAGCTATTTTTAATCAAGCTAGCCATTTAGATTGAAGATAAAGGCCTGAGGCCGCAGCAGAAAGCTTATCATTTGCAGCATATGCCTGTATAGACAATGGGACCTTTTGCAGGCATTGTGTTGAGCTACAATGGCCTTCGGGGAAATGAGTGGCTGTTTTATCAAGCTTTAGTTTGGATAATTATTTTGTGATAACCAAAGTGCTTTTATATTTGTCCATAAATAATCAATTTGTTACTTTTTGACATTCCTGAAAGGTAGTTGTCTAAATGTTTATAAAGTTGTGGGGGCTTTTTTTTAATTGTTTGTGGATTTTTTTTTTTAAAGGTATGAGGTAAAGCCCCACTAAATAGCATACACCATCCATCCGCTTTTAATCAGTAACAACAGAAATGCATTGTAATCTAGGCACAGTTTACATTAATTCTGTCAGCTTCTTAATCATGTAAAGTCCTATTTAGACATGGAATGTGTAACATTGGCAGTTTCATTTGTCAAATAAAGGCTTTTGAAACTGAGGTGTCTGCTATGTAATTCTTTAATTATGGTTTTAGTCAGGAGGGGAAAAACAGCCGTATGACAAATGGAAAACAGGTAGCAGTTAGAAAAGTATAGGTGGACTGATATTTTTCTAAAAAAAAACAGCAACAGTGGTCAGTTATTGAGGGGTTGGTGGGGGGTGGTGGGGGGGTTAGGATTTAATTCATGAAAAATGCCTGACCTTTTCTAAAAGACGGCATGGTTGTCACCCTCTCCCTGGAGTGTGGTAACAGAAAGTAGAGGAGTAACCACAGACATTATACAAAAGACTGACATAGCCTCTGTGACATCACCCACTGCATTGAGAAAAACAGCCTTGAAGCACTGACTTAGTTTTATGTCACTGCCAGCTTTTTGCAGGGGGAGCCAGAAGTGTCCATATTTGGACAAGGGGGAGGTGTGCAAAGTTAGCACAAGCTGCATCCACAGACTTATGTGTCACATAACAATAATTTGGGAAAAATCATACAAAAGACACCAACATCACAAACATGGTTGAAAGGTCCAGTTCAGTGACTTGGGTGAGGAAGTAATCAGCAGACAGCTAGTCAGCACACACCTGTCACTTGGCATTAATGCGCGAGCAGCAACAGGCTCTCAAGTATTAACAAGTCTTTTTAAGCCTTCATAAAATTTAGCCCAGCTCTGCAAAAGCAGTCTAGTGGGAAATTAGCCACAGAGACCAGAATCAGCTAAAAACGTGCTATTGTGAGCTTAAACATTTGGATCTCTGTCCTGCATTTGATTCCCCAAGTTTAGTGAAAATTAACAAAAAAACAGTCTTTCATACATAAAACCATGACTCTGGGACTCTGGCAATAGATCCTTTGGGCCTTGTGGGCTGAAGGTTGGGGCCTTTGTGGATCAGACTTATTTCAGTTAATATGCAGTGGGATTAGTCTTTGGAAAATCTAGAGGCTGAGTCAACACTCCTTTTGAACCATTTCTTGTGCTCATTGAGTTGTTCGGAAACAGTTTCTACTGTTTGACAAGGAGTGTTGTTCTGCAAGAGTAGAGTCTGTCATTACTGCCGACTGTGTCTGGGTTTGCACATGGATTTTAGCATTTTTAAATGAAAGAGCATTAAAGAGCTGATAAGTAGATCCTGTCACTTTAGAGAGGATGTGCTCTTAGAGACAACCTAAGTGGCTACATTTTTTAGCACGAAACATTGCTGCTTGGGAATGGAGGAGTTTCTCCTCTACAATCCAAATTATTAGCTTTTCCTAAGTCTTGGCTGCCATCCATAACAAACTTCAGGGCTCTAGACTAACTTTTTGCCATGGGCGTACCGGTACGCCTAACTTTAAAAAGTTAGGTGCACACAAATTTTATAATAATTTATATAATATAATGTGTTTTTCTGGATATACTGTGCTTTTTCAGCTTTCAAAGATTGATGACACCGTGTCAGAGCACTGGCTATGAATTTCAGAAGGATCAGGCCTTAACTTAAAAGAAAAGTTAGCAATAGTTCTTTTCCTATTACAGCTACATCCACTTCTGTCGTGCCTAGGCTGCTCACTAGGGCTGGGTATCATCACTGATTTCTATAATCCATTCGATTCCGGTTTTCAAAGTCCCGATTCGATTCAATTTAGCCTCAGACAGTCAGAAATATTATAATTCTGATCATTTATCAGTACTGACTTCACCAGAATTGTGAACATCACAGCAGATGCCTTTGTGTGAAAGTAACTGAGAATAAAACACAGAAAAACATGAAGCTGATTTTCCTGGTCTGGCTTTTTATAGCAGATAACCTTAAAAATATTCTACAATGTTCTGCATATAAAGTTTAAATTTCTTCAGTATTGAACAACAGAAAAAATAGCCTTTCTTGTCGGAGGTCATTCAAGTGAAAAAAAGAAAAAGAAAAGAAAAAGACAGCAGCCGACAGCGCTGTAAACAACGGTAGACTGGTGGGTAATAAGCGAATGAATAATACAGAAAACAGAGATTGGAGACGGGAAACTGTTCTTGAAGTACAGAGAGAGATAGAGAGAGAGCTAGCTGTGCATGAAGTGTGATTTTAATAGTCGTGGAAGCAAAACAGCAAAATTCATGACGACATTGATCAAATGTGAAGCGCAGTTTGCTGCTTCTTTTGCTGCTGGCTCGGTGAATTTTGGTTGGAGAGAGACAAAACCTGCAGCTCAGAATCAGCGCAAAAAAGACATAATCACAGCACGGACCGGACGCATCAGAACCGCTAAGCTCCGACAGCGTGTCCGTCTACGGGCTGTCGGGTGAGAAAGCCGAGAAAGACAAAGTTGATTCTGATGCGTCAGGTCTGTGTTTACGTCTTTGTGTGGAATCCGTGTACCTGCTCTCATCTGCTGTTTGGTTGTTGTTGAAATGGTCTTGTGAGCTTTAATCTGAGAATCTGGCGTTTCTGGCAAAACACAGTTATATTTAAAAGTCGATTCAGGATTTAATTAATTGATATCGCTTTATTCAATCTACTCACCTCCCACTGCCACCTGCACTTTCAACTGGACCACGGCCAATCAGAGAAGTCCCGCCCCTGACTATCTCTGATTGGTTTAGTCCACGATAGGGGCAAAATGTGTGTCTGTTGTTGACCACAGGGAAGGTTGCAGTTTTTTTGGGGGTTTTTTGCTACCCGAACAGTTGGTCGCACAGGTGCAACCAAATATTTTGTTTTTAGTCGCACCACTGAAAAATTTGGTCGCATTTGTGACCAAATTGGTCGCACTCTAGAGCCCTGCAAACTGAATAAAAACAGAAGTCTTTATTTTTTCATTGGACGCAAACAGTTTTCTCACAAGTTATATTAATGGTGGACTCAGAACAACCCATGTTGAGTTTTTTTCTTTGTTTTTGTTATCAGTGTTCCTTATCAATGTCACCATTGCTAGAATGACATTGGAGCTTTCTGTTCCTTTAATTTATTTATTTTTTGTTTGTTTGTTTTTTTACGTACAGTCATCAAATAAATAGAAATGATACATTATAGCACATGTAAGTCCCTTTCTTTCTACATTGCTGTATGTAAGCTGTTCTCTAATTAGTCCCTTTTTGTAGACAAAAGCTGTTAATAAGCACAGTGGTTGATGATATAGTACTGTGATTTGCAGAGATCCTTTTGTACTGTTCTGACATTTCACCTTAACAGCTGACTCCTCTGTATCGTTAGTAAATTGAAAGTCTCTTCATTAAGTGACAAACTTTGTATTTGTTTTAACTTTGTAGTCTTTGCGGGAATATGACATTACCCATATTCTTGAGCCATGTTTGAAGTGTAACGGATATACTCAAATCATGTTTAGTTTGACTTAGACTGTCACTGTAACTTAACTGAAGCTTACAATTGCCAACATATTTCCTCAGTGAAGTGCATACCAGGAGAGAGATTTTGATAACAACCTGTGAGTCTGTATCCTATAACATATCAGTTCATGACCTTCTCTGTCGTGTCTCCCTCTATCAGATGGTCTGTCTGCCTTCCGTAGCTTCCTGCAGTCTGAGTTCAGTGATGAAAACATCGAGTTCTGGATGGCCTGTGAGGATTTCAAGAAGACCAAGAACCCAGCGAAGATGGCTGCCAAGGCAAAGAAGATCTACGAAGACTTTATCCAGTCTGAGGGACCCAGAGAGGTCAGGCACTCATGTCACTTCCCTATCCCTACTCTTTCATCAGCTCAGCCTCATAAAGATGATAGATAGTTAATCTTCAAATTAATCATACATTGCTTGTTTCACAAAGTGGAAACTGATGCTTGACCTCTTACTTTAACACTCTCCATACTCTAAGTATTTCATGTGTTCACAGTATGTTCCAGGTCAAACTGACCCAGGACAAGATTTCCATAATGACTGTCTATGCTGAATTCCAAAGCACAGATCTGTTTGGAATGTAAAAATAGTTTATCTGACATTATTAAATGACTCATTAATCCTGTATCCTAAGTTGAGAGTGAATTTGTTTTTGATTTCACAATGCCAAAGTACCATCGCTACAACCTTCAATTATTAATATAATTCATTACGTTAAATTATATCATTTTATATTAACATTATTTTATACTTAATAATGATATAGGCAGCATGGTGGAGTTAATAGTGCTATCCCAAAACACCAAGAAGTTTCCTGGTTTTAAACTCGGCTGGGTCGTTTCTGTGTTTGTAACTTCTCCCCCGCCTGTGTGGGTTTTCTGTGCTCTGCCTGCCTTCCACAGTCCACAGGTTCACAGTTTCAAGACTGACTAAGAACATTGTTTGCCACAATTTGAGGCATACTGGTGGATCTAAATAGATACAGGTTAAATTTTACTCAGAACAGCCTTAATGTACAAATATTTGCAGCATTGGTACAACTGCATAACTTTTTTGCATATTTTAATATTTGCGTGTTTGGGCCACTTAAGGAAAATCCATCAAACCAGGCTAAGAATGATTAAGTAACTTCTGAAAATAATAAAAGAAAAGTTAAAAAACAAAAAGCAGGAGAATGACAACCAAAACACATAGCACCCTAGATTAGCAATCACTCCACAGAGAGCTGTATATAATATATATAAAATTGGTTAGAGGCAGAATTCAAATTGCATTATTTAGAAACAAAAGCATAATATTCATCAGCCTTCTATAACCAAACTTTTTAAAACTGAGAATCAATCCAGCATTTGGAACAGTGGTAATTCTTCTCTTTTGCAACAAAGAAAAAGAAGAATCATTTATCTGTTGCTTTTATCACCATTGGTACACTCCGTAACTAACATGGAGAAAACCATGACTGAGTCTTCCAAGTGAGTTTTGAGTGAACAAGTTTTAGAAATACTTGTTTTTATTTCATAAGATCTACCTTTTTGATCAGAATGACCTCATAAAATTAGAAATAACAAAGACTGTAGCCTCTGTGACATCACATTTAAGTGTAAAATTTCAAGTTATTGCCGTTACCGTCTTGGCAAACATATTTGCATGAGAGGTTAGACTAGATAGAAACAGATGCCTGCCTGTTAGTGCTAACATATTAAAATATTACTCGTATTTTCACCCGTATTTTATATCAACTTCTCTTATTTATCCTAGTTTTACTTGCTTCTGAGAGAATTTTGGTTTTTTGTCTTAAATCTCTCTAACAGGTCAATATTGACCACTTCACCAAGGATGTGACCCTGAGGAACTTGGTGGAGCTTTCCCCTTCAACCTTTGACCTGGCCCAGAAGAGGATCTATGCCCTCATGGAGAAAGACTCCTTTGGCCGTTTCCTCCGGTCTGAGCAGTACCAGGAGCTCCTGGTCAACTAAATTGAGTAGCTAGGGCAGGGGTGGGTAGGTGGGGAGATTTTAAACAGTAGCTAGATGGTTTGAAAAAAAGAAAACTAATGAAGAATTTCGATTAAATATTTATAATAAACTACTGTGTGTGTGTGTGCGTGCAAACTATAATCTGGAAGACTTTTGTTTTCCAAAATCCAAATTGTGAATGTCATAGATATTACATTTCAAAATTACATTTTGAATTCAGCTAAAGTGAAAAAAATGCCTTTTGAAATAGCCCCACCTTTCCACCCACCCACCCCCGCACACACACGCACGTTCCTAAATTTGGACTCTTAAACTTGATGGTTTCCTAGCATGACCTCAAATGTAAATCAAAATTTCCTTTGAAAAAAGTACAGGGATGCACCAACACACACCAATATACACACTAAATCTATATCAAAACATGTAAAAGTAATCTCTATGGAAACCAGACAAATCTTTAACTAGGTCAGAAAGTTAGTTCTTCAGTTTGGGATTTGAAAATCATTCTTTTGAAAAAATCCCTTATGAACATAACCTAACATATACTTACTACTTGCATCACAGTGTTGGAACTTTGTCAGACAGATTTATCATTATGTGTAAGCTGGGCCCCATTGTTTACCATGCACTTTTGACACATGGTGGTAGCATGAAAAAGTAAAAGAGATGGAGGAAGAAGATGAGAAGTTTATTGTCTCTGACCTGCTCCATTTGGTCTGAAAAACTAAGGCATTCCAAATCTATAAAGCTGAGTCACTGGAGAAAAATGAGTATTCCCCTACTGTAGTTGTACAAAGAAGTTGCTGGAGGTTGCTAACAGTCATTATTAAATCGATTGCTAAGGCCTAGTCACTAAAATCTAACCACACGCATTGGTATTGCTTTCCGTTGCTAAATGACATTAGTTGCAAAGAGCTATAAATTGCTGCACCAATATTCTCCTTCCATATCTTTGGTCAATAGTATATTGCTGCGGTTCCAACATGAATACATGCATGGCGCCAACTTGGCCTCAAACACTCACCAATTACTCATTATGCAGTTGTGAAACTCTGAACAGTGTGACCCATACCGGAAACATAGACTGTTTGCCTTGAAAGCAAAAGTGACAAGACACAGCTTTTACTTTTAAATGGAGTAGTGCCTGTTTCAAGTTTCCCTACCGCTCAGTGGTTACCTAGTGAGTGTTTTCAAAAGAAAGAAAAACTGTAAACCAAGTCACAAGTATAAGATAAGACGATGAAAAACATTTTGCAGTTTTGCTTTTATTAAAAAACCTCAAGATTCACCTTAAATGTACAACAATGTTAAATCATTTTAGAAGACATTAAAGTTTTATCCAGAAAGATGTGACTGTGATATGTGAAGTGTTTTGTGATTTCCCCCCCTTAAGACCTTATTGCATGGAAAGTAGAGCAAATGACTTTTTAAAAGGTAAAACAAAGGGAAATTAAAGTGGAACGGCAGTAAAACAGTTGGTTGTTTTGAATCAGTTGATTGCCTGAATAATTTGTAGCATGGACCAAATACTTTGTTTTTTTAAATAAAAGAATATCTCACATAGTGGAGTACTATCAATGCATGACTAATATTTATCACATAACCTATTTTCTATTTTGGTTCTGGTCTGTTATCTCACCCTCACATAGATATAAAAATGTGGATTTTCACTACACCCAACCTTTTGGTTGTAATGTATCCTGTGTGAGTCATCCTTGAGGACAGTGCTGGCTAGTTGGCTAAGTGGTGGAGCTCCTTGTCTACCACTTAAGTGCAAGTTGCTAAGATGGGAAAATCAAGTAGGAGGGAATCTCATAAATAGAAGTAAACAGAACAGTGGTTTCATACAAAGAAAGATCTTTTTCCCATGTCACAACACCAAAGCTGTACTGTATGTATGCAAGCCAAGTCAATAAAAAGGTCCAGATCTGCTTTTAGTGTAAATTTACTTTTGAAAAACATGGGAAACTGATCTTGCATGTTTTCAGCACTAGACAATCCCTCAAGTGGCTAATGAGAATGATCTTATGATAAAGAATGGAGCACACAGTTAAATCCTAAAATCAAAGTGTAATGTTAGCAACATTTATAGCAGCATTACAAATTCAAAAATATATGCAATATCAGTTGATAAAGCCAACCTTATATGTACTTTCCTGTTTCAGACTACATTTTATACTTTCAATCACAAGTTATTTGTCACTCTTCTATCCTTAAGAGTATTCACCAACTTACACAAGACTATGCTACAATGAGATGTAATGTTGGATTTGGTGTTGGTGTGTAATGTTGAAGTGTCCTTGATATATGCATTTAGTTAAATGTAGCAATCGTTGAGTGTGATGATATTTACTCTTGATTTATGTAATAACCAACAGAAATATAATTATATAATCAGCATTTATAAGTCCTTATTGTTCCCAAAAATTCAAATATATCACAAAAGAAAAAAGAAAAACTAAAAATTGTGCCGATCTGGACATCATATTTTCTACTTTTTCAGCTTATCTGAATTTCTAAATGTGTTATTATGAAATGCATTGGACCACCAAATTGACAAAGATTCCTTTCAGGTTTAAAGAGAAATGACAAGGATTCATGATGGCACAGATTAGCCAGTCTGGTGTCATAACCTGAAGAGTGAGAAGTCATCAATCAGCATCATAGAAAAAAATTAAACAAAATTAAAATCAATAAGGGCTTTAATGGTGCTGACAATGCATTATTGGATGTAGCTTGCATGTACGTTTTGGAGTCAATCACATAAAAATATATATGCACACAATTCCTGAAGATGTATTTATTTATACATGTAAATATCTAAACGTGTACAGATTTTCTGAACAGTGAAATCCATGATGCTCTGAATGGAGATAAGGCAAGTACTCTTTCTAGTGTTCTGTATCTCTTATAAAAGAGGAAACATCTGTCTTTAAATTGTCATTTTGGTTTTTCTTTTTTAAGTTATACATACGGAACCTGTTGTGGGCCTAAGCATTGTTTCAAATATCTGCTAGCTTGGTTGTAGCGCCTTCCTATCAAATAGTTGGAGCATAAATCCAAAAAGATATAGATATAGATATAAATAGATATATAGTTGATATAAAACAAAAGGGGGAAAAATGTGTTTTTCAAGGCCTTAGTTCAGGGCCAATAATCAACCCCCACCGACCACCCAAAAAAAGTGTCTGCAATTATGTAACAGAAACAGTCAAAGACAAACAGCACTGAAAAACAAAAAAGTCTCAGAAAACATATTAGTTTATATATTTACTTCATTTTTCTTCCATCCCTTCTTGGAATGACTGGGTTGTTTTAAAGAATCTGCATGTAAAGAGTGCACCACCAAGAAACATCAGCGATGACTAAAGAGCAGAGCGGAAACAGATGCAGCTGACTAACTAGCTGCCAACACAAACACTGTCAGAAGCTTGCATGGATGCATCCGTCACTACCGCGCTTCCTAGAAATAGATGGAAAAGGTCAGATGCCTTTGTTCCCCAAAGGAGGTTAGTGACTCTCTGACAAATGTTTCTTGAGCTTGTAACATGTGCGGGACACTGTCACATTTATAGACTCGGACTTGTAGTATCTAAAGTCTGAGCACTAAAACATGGCAAGCTAAAAGTCTGACATTTTATTTGATAGCCAAAGATCTATCAATACTCTTTCAAACAATCACTGCTGAAACAGATGAGTAAGCAGATCAAAACTCAAACATCTTTGGCTCTGATTTCACACATTGTCACTCTCAGTTTACTTTACCTGTCATATAATATTTAGTTTTTTCTTTTTGTCTCTTGCCACAAGACATAGCATTTCACTCTGGCAGCGTTTTATGTTTTACGATATGTTTTCATAGACTTATTAGCAGTTAAAAAAGGAATCCAGACAGTTCCAAGTATGGAAAAAAGGTAATCAGACATGAAAAGAAAAAAGAAAATTATATAACATAAAATGTGATGTTTTGTTGAGGGATTCAGGTTCAACCTATAGCGGTGGGATCTGTGTGAAGTTTTAGGGACATGTTGGTGACCGTACTTGGGAAAAAGCAGAGCTGCAATCCCCAGAGTCCAAAATAGTCTTTGTTGATTGATTAAGACCATAAAACTATACAGTGCTGTTTATGTTTACTTAAGCATCGTTAAAAGGCAGAGGGCGTGGGTGCTGCAGGATCGGTGAGCACACAGGAAGCTGATTGCTCCTTTAGTTCCTCATAAAGAAGGCTGTAACATTGATAATGTTCTGGCAAACAGTTCTCATGGTTTCAGGGCTTTTTATACATTTGTCAGAAGAAGAATGATCTGTATTTGTGGGAGAAAATCATAGAACCTTCTGCAATATCCCCCAGTGAGATCTGTGGCTGGCGGTGAGATCTACTGCTGACAGGACTGCACCCACAGGGTTTCTAGCCACAGTCCACCCCCACGTTCATCTAGGTCTGATGCTGTAAACAGAACTGGGTGCACATGAACTACTCATAAAAGACTGGAGTTAAGGTACCATTGGTGCTTGAAATACTACCAATTCTAATGATATCAAATTGCTACTGTACACAAAGTGATATTGTTTTCCTGACACAAGGTGTATTATTCTAGCCAGTTTAAGTTGTGAAAACATAGTGGCTGGTGTCTTGATGAATTCTCAATCATCCAGGAAAGTAAATCTTCAAAAAGTTCTTCAGTCTCAGCTGACTGCAGGTTTCCCCAATCTTATAAACAGAACATTTGCATAATGACTGAAACCAGCCCACTGAAGGAACAGTGGTCTGGGAGGTCGGTTCCTTAATCTTAATTAAGATTAAGGAACTGAAGAAGTCACTTGGGTGAGTGACGAAACGTTTCTCCCACAAAACACTACGTCCAGATGAACAGAATCAACTTTTTGGAGATAGTGGCTGGTGCACTTTGACTTCTAGCTGTGTTTAAAATATTTATACAGTAAATGATCATGCTTAGGAATCACACACAGGTACAGAGGGCCTCAGAATAGAAACCTCAGGAAAAGAAACTTGGGGTAAAACCATGATATCAACTAAGAGAAGATTTCATAACATGAAAAAGAAACTGCCACATTTAAGTGTCTGAACCAACCCAATCTCCTTTATT